GAGAGAGAGAGAGAGAGCTTCGATGTAATTAGCGCGATTACTCGATGGAATTAGCGCGATAATCGGGAGGGGAGGATCGTAAATGAAAGGAGAGCCGGTGATTAGGAACGAACTGGCAGATGTAAAAGGTAATTGCACCTCTGTCGTTCGTGCTCGTCTTCAACGTCAGCGACCTCGGCGTCGAGTCTCTAACGAAGTGGAAAACTTTGCACCCTTTCGAGTCGTTTTCGATTCCTACTGCGGGGATACACCGAGTTCGGCTAATTACAATTCTGCCGAAATCTGCCGTTTACTCCTTGAAAATTACCTTGAAAATTGAACACTCCGCCGAATTGGTGGAAGAGAGAGAGAGGGGGGGGGAGAGAGACGTGGAAAAAAATCGACGAAGGGCAATCCAATCTGCAGAGATACGTCCGCAGCGACGGATATTCGACATTGTGTGGAAATTGCACCGTTTAATTACGTAGATCAAAGCGAACGAAGCGTCGTCCGCTTCCCTCGCTTCCATTCATCCGTTTCCGAACGCAGACATCCGGTCACGTAGAACCGGCGGATCGCTTTCACCGGAGACAGAGCCCCGGCTGATCACTGCCGACCCCTCTGCCTGCCTCCTCCCTTGGTTCCACCTTGTTTCTTTCGAGATATTAAATACTTCCGGCTATCAACCGGCACTTAGACGTTGGCATTTGTCCCCTGGCAACGTTCGAGACGCTCTTCCCACCCCGATCAGCTTCAAATAAATTGCTTTACGTATTTGCCGGTTTACGTTCAGAACAAACACAGCGGCTATCGTTATGTTCGCAACTGAAGATGAATTAACGAAGAGGAGAATTCAACGTCCCGCACGGTAAGAAATATTAATAACGGGTCGAATGTTAATAAAATCTGTATCACTTTGAACGAGAATGAAAGTGAGTTTCAGATTCAGATACGCGTAAATCAATTATGCAAATGAGTTGTACAACGTATTGAAAATGTGACGAGGGTATTGGCTGAACGATATACAAGATAAAGATTCTTTTCTAAACAATAAATTAACTTCTTTTTAAGTAATGAAACAACTTTTTATACCAAAAAAAGGCCATTTTATCGTACGACATATGACCAATATAGTGACTTTAGAAAAGACTTTTAATCGTTTGTAGTTAAACGTTGGAAAAATCTCTGTTCAATCACCTGTATTATCAGGAATTTACATGGTCAACAGTGTTTCAACTTTTCTATGTACCAAAGAGTTCTTCGCTATCCATGAAAAACTTATCACTACGAGGTGTAGGAACCCTTTCATTTACTTTTATATATATATATTTTTTGCGAGATAAATAAATTTTATTCGAATATTGTTACGCACAATTCATAACACCCATGTATATTTACACATTATTTAAATATCAGTGTTAAGTCGGTGAATTGTTCTCGACGATTTGAGAACACAAAAATATAGAATGTTCCTAAATATATTAGATTATAAAATTTAGAATGGTGGAGAGCGAGTATTCTATTTATTCTTTTATTTTCCGAAACGGCGTAACGGTTATCGGCGTCTAGATAAGCAATCAGTAAGTGATGCTAATAAGCAAGTAACGATCGCCGTAAAGTCTAAATTTTGCATGAATAATACAAGTTTTAACTATGTAACTATAAATATTATAAGTTATATATACACATAATATTATAAGTTATATATACACATGTAACTATGTAACTATAATATTATAAGTTATATATATACACATACACACATATATATATATATATAATATAAATATATATGAATTATAAATGGTATATATAAATGCCTTAACTATATTATTCGTCACCAAGATTTTTATTGTATAATAATAAATACAATAAAGTCTTCATATTTATGGATTCAACATCCGCGGTTAAAGACATGTTTGACGGATTCATTTATTCATTTTACTCAAAACAAATTTTTAAAAATAATAATTTAATTTTCTACATTTCAATCTGCCAAGTTGATCTACGTGGCATTTCCATATACGTTCGCATACCTGTGTAAAACGTTTTCGGTGTAAGTGTATCACAATGACAGCTTCGAACATATTCGTGCAAGAATAATGTCCCCTCGATTATAGTAATATTCATACATGCGTAATAAACTATCTATTATAATAACAAAAATGCACATATATAATAGAACTCGCCATTGCTGTCTGCAGATAATTCCCGAAACCCGCGAGTTTGTGATAATATAACAGCGTACTATAAAGAAAAAACGTTCTATATATTTAAAAAATCAATAGAAAAATCAACTAATAGAGAGTTGATCGTGCTGCCCGCGTGATTTCGCTTTTGTTGTTAGATTTTCTCTACAGTGTAAAATTATTATTTATTGTTTCCCGGAGAAATAAACCGACATCCGATACTAAAAATACAAACACGAACTCGATAGTTCTATCGATAATATATATATATATATAGATAACGTAGTCCTATTCTGTGTAAATGATTACGCAAACAACTCATGCATTTTCATCGAATTATTGTACGTTCGAACAGCCGCGAACTTCGACATCGTAAGGGGAAAAAAATATGCCAATTCAGTTGGTTCCTAACTTCGACAACAATCGCTTCGAGTATATACGTCACGTTCACAGAAGGAAATCAAACTTGTGAATCGCATTGCTTGAAAATTTTTCTTCAACGGGTAAGTTTGTCAATTATTTTAATTTTATTCGTTAATAAGCGAGCAATAATTTATCATATTATATTATATGTACTTGAAATCTTATGAAATTATGGAATTAAATGAAAGACGTGGTAGCAAAGAAATATTGAGCAAATCCTTGAGATTTCCTTTCGTAGCTGCAATATTAAAAATCGAATTTTGTACGATCAATCGAAAAGAATTTGACCAACGAAACGTTGCGTCAACGCAATTCAAAACAAGTTAAATGTTATTTATATTTTTATTGCATTTTCTTTTTCCTCTCAGAAAACAGCTTTTACAAACAACTTCGTCCGTAATTTTCGTGAACGTAAATTTCTTTAATCACTTTGTAAAACGTTGAAGTCATTTTAAACAGCGATCAACCAGACCGGTAGTCATGATGACACAACGCAATTGTATTATATATTGCTATTGTTATAGTTTCCAGGAAAGTATTCCAGCTCCGACTCATAAATGTTTAAACGAACAATCTTCGAGTGTCGCGCGAAATATTCGTCTTTTTCTTACCAAAAAAAAAAAAAAAAAAAAAGTCTTTTCGCTTCGTAAATATCATGTAACACGAAAATAGGAAGTCGCGGCGAATGCGAACGAGCACGTGAAACTGAAAGATGACCGAGAAACCGGCTTTCTCGTAGTAAAAAGAAAAAAAGGAAAAAAGGGAAAAGAAACGTTCGCGAGGCCATCGACTTTAGTTGGAACGATCAATGTCTCGCGAAGCGTTGCTTCTCTGTTTCCTCCTGCAGAAATATTTCGCGAATATCTCATCGGCTGTTCTTTTTTCTTCTTCTTCTTCTCCTTAACCTGTCAGGTGCGACGTAATTCCGTGAAAAAGTTTTGCTATAAATCTTTTAAATGATTTGTCTTTGCAGTAAAAAAAAAAAAAAAAAAAAAAAAAAAAAGAAACAATCGGATTTACTTTTTCGAATTTACTGTAACATTTAGTGTGATGAATGAAGTATTTTTGTAAATCCAAGTCTACTTTCAACACAAACACTTGCACAATTCGGGCTAATATTATTAGTGGAAGTTTGAAAGTTACAAGTTGTTTGGCACTAGTAAAATCTTCTTAAGTAATCCAAGTTGAACTTGACATTTTTACGAATTTCAATTCAACGAAAAGAGATATAAACCTATAATTCATATACTGATAGTCGATCAGTATTATTAGTTGATAAATCGTGCGATTCTGTATAAGTTGTGAGAAAAAATTTATTATGATTTACATATTGATAATCGACGAATTATTACCAACTGACAAATAGACGTACGATAAAGTTTATTACATATTTTCCTTTCGTGTCAAAAAAAAAAAAAATTTTGTCACCACTGTACGCAGAATGAACTTCCGTCTAAACTAAATGTCGTCAGATATATCACGGATTTTTGTTTATCATATTATTCACAAGGCCGGTATCGGTTGGCTGTGACGATTAATATCTTCAAATTCTTTAACAAAACCATCGTTCTGTGCAATTAGGCAGAAAGATAGGAAGAGAAAACAATCTCAGATCTCGAGTGACCCGAGTGTCAAATCGCTACCAAAGACACTGATATTTCACAGTAACCGGAGGATTTTATTAAAATAGAAAAGCCAATAAACTCCGCAAGATTGACGTTTATGAAATTTCGACTGGTTCGCGATCGATCCGCGTTGCTCCATTTTCTGAAACGTGCTTTCGCTGCGTTCGCGTGTTCGAGGATATTGAGAAAACGATTCTACGCACAATAAACGATCTAAAAACGGGATTTCCACATATTCTGTTTCTGCGTATATCCGGTAGGCTCTCTCGATTTTCATAAAACCATGAAGCAACATCTTCTCATTTATTTCCTTTTCCTTTTCTCTTCAATCCTTTTAGATATCGAGTACCAGCTACTAGTACAGCTAAGACAAATAAATAAAACGGGAGAGAAATGTCGAAGACTTATTCGGCGGAGGAGGTGGCCAGACACAATAACGCTGCGGATTTATGGATCGTGTACAAGGGCAACGTGTACGACATCACGAGATTTTTAAAGGAGCATCCAGGTGGCGAGGAAGTGTTGTTGAATTTGGCTGGGAAAGATGCGACAGAATGCTTCGACGACATTGGACATTCTCTAGAGGCTATAATGCTTCGCGAAACCTATAAAATCGGAATGGTGGTCGGCGATGTTCCCGGAACAGTAACAGGTGGTACGTTGTCATATGCATCACGATACTTTAAATAATATATAATAATTAATATTAATATATAATGATTAAAAAGTCGCGTAATTCGTATAATTCATTTCGCATTCAGTATAATTATGATAACGCATATGAAAGATGCGTTATTGCATTTAGAAACGTTATTCGACAACTGATAGGTAAAAAAAAAAAAAAAAAATAATTGCCACTGACTCATTGCCACTTAAGCATTTAACTTCGTGTTTATTCGTACACTTTGTGCATACATTGCGAGTATTATGTAAAATGTCCCATTTGATAGAAACTTCAATTTTCAATTTTTCGCTCGCTATAATGCAACGTCAACGTTAGATAAAAATGGAATTCGGAGCTGAATATATATATATATATAAATAAATAAGCTGCAGTAGGTATTTATTTATTATTTATTGCAGACGCATTAATGCATTAACGCAAGCAGCTGTTTTAAATATTCAATAGTTAGAAATCATGACACTACTAAATTGATGAAATGTATTAATGTAATGGATAGAATACATAAAGTAGAATATATTATAATTTAAAACGCATTCTGCCAATGAATAAATGATTATTCAAAGACTTTCGATGACGATCTGTGCAAAATACACGCTTGAACTAAGCATTTTCATAATAATTCAACATTTTACTAATGGCAACATTTTGTTCGGTATCGTCACACTGTGAATATTATAGCACACTGGGCAATGTATTCGAAGAAAGTCAACACGAGTATAGGAACATTTTTGCAAATCATCGGTATTTATTTACGCGTAAAACGAGTTGAAGAAGTAATGAGATTTGAAGAAACTCTGAAGGCCTTTGGAGTACTTTTAATTATTGATTTCTGTTCATCAGGTGTGCAAGACACGAGAATAGACGACGACAACTGGGAATATGAACCACCGAAGTACGAACAATCACCGTGGCTTCCGGTGATGATCGCAGTTGGTGTCATCGTTTATGCATCCATATTTTATTACTTTTGGTACTCGTAAGGGCAGCAAAAAATTAGGACAAATGCCAGATATTCGCCAATAAAACGTTCGTGAAAATTACATGTGAATCTTTTCTTCTTCTCTCTTTTCTGAACGAGAAAACAAAAATAGAACACGATCGATTCGAGAGAGAGAGAGAGAGAGAGAGAGAGAGAGAAAGAGAGAAAGTGAATTTTAGCTACGAATATCTTATCTGCTGAGAAACATATTATCTTATCTATGAATAGAAATATAGATATCTACATATCTCGAGTTCAATTTCTTCGTTTTCCGTTTTCAAAACGCGACGAGAGCAACCAACTGTATCTTGATCATTTCGCCTTTCTTTCTTTCTTTCTTTCTTTCTTTTTTTTTTCAAATGCGATTGATCGAGGCGTCGTTCCCATTTTAATTCCGATCGCAATCTATTTTTCAATATTTAAAAATACGGCCACGACGAAATGATGTTCTCCGACGTCTGATTCAATCTATCTCCCGATATTCTGGCACATCGCGCGTTTAAATTAAAATTCGTGTCACGAAAATTCAGCCGGGCAAGATCTGCTCCTGTATCCAGCCACGCGATCAATAAAACACGCTGTTTTTTTTCTTTTTTTTTTTTTTTTTTTTTTGTTATACTCGCAGACTGACATCGCAATAACCATTTCACGCGAGCTTTCGCGGTCGTTCGTACCGTGTATATCTCGGCACATAATATCGGGCGATATTACAAACAGGTGAAATGTAATTGCGTAGAAAAGATTTGACGTCGCAAGGTCGACGTTGTTAATGCTCACTATGGAAATGATCTCGAGATGGCTGCGAATAATCGCCGCCTAGCGGAGAAATATCGTTGATGCAGCGCGATTCGCGTAGCCTAACCGGGAGCACAAATTTCCTCGTCACCGTGACTGGCAGCTTTCAGCTTTGACTGTTATCAACATTCTAATCTGCGACACCGATGTCTTTCCCGAGCTGCGCACGTACGCGATAGACATGAAAAAAAAAAAAAAAAAAAAAAAAAAAAAAAAAA